CTAACAGCATGGAGCAGAGATGGGGAGCAGCCTCGGAAAGGAAAGCCAGCTCGTACTGCCTGTCCTCTAGGACGTCACTGCCAAGGGCAGGAGCACCCCCGACGGACAGAGGACGGGCAGGGTCAGAGACCAGAGCGGTAGCGTAGTCAAGGCGGCGGGTAGAAGCGAAGTCAGCGACAGCAGCGACAAGCGCGTCAAGGCGCGAGACAGGAACAGCAGGGTCGGTAACAAGAGAGGCAAGGACCCGAGGGACAAGGGGACGAGCAGCACGGAGGTAGTCAGAGAACGGAGGAGGTGCAACAGCAAGGGACGAGGGAGGAGGGGACGGGAGGAGGGGAGGACGAGACGAGTGGGAACGGAGCAACATAGGGTGGGTGGGCAGGACAGGAGAGACGGGACGAGCACGGGAGGGACGGCGAGCCCAAACGTGAGACGGAGGGGTAGGGTCAGGGGACAGCGGAGGAGACACAGGAGGGGAACGAGGAGGAAGACGGGCCGGAGACGAGTCTGGCGGCGGGAACACAGGACCGTAGACAGGGAGGTCAGGAGGCGGTGGGGGAGACACCGGCGCGCGGTCCGGGGAGGGAAGGCCGAGCAGGCGGAGAGCGGAAACCGGCGGCGACGGCTGCTGTGGCGGCGACGACGGCTGGGCCGGAACTCTCGGACCAGCAGAGGCAGAACGACCGTCGGCAGAACACTCAACAGCAGCACCCCCAGAACCAACACCCCAAGAGCGAGAACCCCCTCCAACACCAGCGGCACCCCCAGAAGCCGCAGGACGAACACCCTCCTCCACACCAGCACCCCCAGGGGCCGAGAGCAGCGGCGGCAGTGGCGGCGACAGCGGCGACGGCTGCGGCGGCGACGGCGACGGCGGCGGCAGCGGAGTCGGCGACTGCGACAGTGGGGGCGGAGGCACTGGGGAAGGGGGACGCGGCAAGGACGGACCGGGGGTACCACCAGAGTCAGCAGACTCCTCAACGGGGACAACCGACGGGAGGGGAGTGACGTGGGAGACACCAGACGGGGCAGGACGAGGCGGGAGAGGGGCAGGGGCTACCGGGGGAGAGGGAGCAAGGAAAAGGGGGGGGGCAACTGGGAGACCTCGGTGAGGGAAGCGGCGGTAGAAGGAGACGGACTCGTCAAAGGTGACGTCACGAGAGTGGAGGAAGCGGTGAGACGGCGGGTGGTAGAAAAGCCAGTCAGACGAGTCCAGGGGGAAACCGAGGAAGACACAGGGGACAGTGCGGGCAGTGAGCTTGTCCGTGCCAGAGGCACGAACGTGAGCAAGGCAGCCCCAGACGTGGAACGCAGACGCGTCACCGGGGGACCCGATCCAAAGGAGGGTCGGCGAAACCTGCGGCCGCTGGGAGCGTGGCCACAGGTTAAGCTGGTGAGCCGCGTAGCGAACAGCGAACGGCCACAGAAAATGGGGGGCATCGGCATGGATCATGGAGGTACGGGCGACCTTCATGACCAAGCCGATGCGGCGCTCAGCAACCCCATTCTGCTGTGGCGAGTCCGGCAAGGTGTACGACTGAGTGATGCCCTCCGCACGACAGAACTGTCCAAGCCGACCAGAGGCGAACTCGCCGCCACGGTCGGAGTGGAGACACAACACGGGGAGACCGCGGTGGAGACGCGCAGCTACAACCCACGGGAGAAGAACGTCGGGCACGTCGGCCTTCCGCTCCAGGGGAAACACCGTGGTGTAGCGCGTGTAGTCGTCAACGAGCACAAGGAAGTAGCGCTCACCGCGCGGTCCGGGGACGGGGGCAGGGCCCCAAACGTCCAAGTGCAGGGTCGGAAGGGGGGCAGTAGCAGGACGCAGCGAGGAGGAGTGAGGAGCACGGCGGAGCCGACCCTCGACGCAAGGCGTGCACGGTGGCGCAGTCGAGGGAGGAAGGGCAGGGAGCGACGCGGGGAGACCTAAGACAAGACCGTGCTGGGACATGTGACGCAGACGCGGGAGAGCAGGGTGACCTAAGCGGTGGTGCCAGAGAAGGGAGGGGTGAGTGAGGGACCGACACGAGCAAGCTGCAGCGACCTGGGAGGACGCACCAACCGGGGGGGAAGCGGTGTGTAGGGTAAACAGACCGGACACCGGGTCCCGGGGGAACGTCGCAAGGGGGGAACCTGAGACAGCCTCAGAACAGACAGCGAACCGCTCGTGCCCGGGGAACGTGGTGGTGACGCCGAGGTCCTGGAGACAGCCGACACCAACCAGGTTCCTGGAGAACGAGGGAACGTGGAGGCCAGTAAGGGAGCCCGAGGGAACTGCCGGACAGGGAAGGGACGTAGAACTGCGCGCGACGACCGGACCCGCAGAGGGGTCAGCGAGAGAGACAACAGCAGGTGCAGCAAGCGGCGTGAGCGTGGAACGGTCGCGGAAGAAGCAGGCAGAAGCACCAGAGTCGAGAGTGAAGGACAGCGACGCAGTGGCGGAGGCCGCGGACGGAGCCGGTGCAGCGACTAGACTAGGCAACCTAGGCAGTCCTACGCCTGTCGCAGCAGGGGAAGCTAAGCTACACAAGGGTGAAACACCTAAACTAGAGTACACATGGTAGTAAGATCCATCAACACTAGAAGCGTCAGCATACAAAGCATGCAAAGCAGCACCTATCTGATCCATGTCTAACTCAAAGATCGGCACGCCCTGGCGGAGCAGGCTGTGCCAGTCAGGGAGGTCCGGGGCCGGGCCAAAGCGACGACGAAAAAGATCGTCGAGGCGGCGGAAACAGTGGGCGGTCGGGTGCGGGCGGCGGCACAGAGTGCCGCGGAGAGGCCCGGTCTGAAGCTGGTACTGGCAGGTCACAGCACTGGAGCCGCTGGTAGACGCCAAGCTGCGCGGGCCGCCACCACGGCCACCGCCTCCGGAGGTGCTGGGCCAACCAGGCGGGAGACGAGCCCACGGCTGCGGCGGGTGCTGCTGGGACGGCGGCTGCGGCTGGGGCTGGTCCTGCTGCTGCTGGGACTGCTGCTCCTGCCCACCGGTGGTAGTCCCCTCAGGCGGACTACCGTCACCACCACCACGACCACTACCACCTGCGTCACCACCCCTACCTCCCTGGCGGCCATGGCCACCGCGACGCGAGCGCTGCTGCGGGTGGACAGCAGCAGCCGTCTCGGTAAGAGGGGTCGCCGTGGCGACCGCAGCCGAAACGTCAGTGAACGTGCACGGGGATGGGGCACAACCGTGAAAGATAGAGACTGCCGGCGCACCGCTCGACTGAGCGATAGTGCGCTGGCGAGTCTCGATCTCAGTGAGGGTGTCGACAAAGGCGGTCAGGGTGAGGTCACCCGAGTGCTGGCTAAGAAAGTGGTCGCGAGCACTAGCGAGGCGGTCTGGCAGGCGCATAGCGATAAAATAGAGCGTCATGCAGAAAGGAGGGGGGAGCGCAGTGAGCTGGGCAGCAGTGCTGGCAGTGCGATAGCGAGTCTCTAGGGCACGCAAATGAGTGGCAAAATCTGCGACAGTAGGGAAGGCAGCCAGGTCTGGGAACAGCATCGGAAAGAGCAAGCGGCCAGCAGAAGCGGAGGCAGGGGTGGAATAGCGAGCAATAACGGCTTCTAAATAAGCTTTGGCCGTTTCAACAGTAGCAAAACGCGAGCGCTCAGACACAGGGAGGGCGTGACTAATAGCAACCTGAGCTACTGCATCGCGTGAGTCCCAGACCGCACAGGCTAGCGCAGCAGTAGAGAAAGCCTCACGGTCATCAGAGGAGGGGTCAGCAGGGAGGGGAGTAGGTGCAGGGGGACGGGGGAGCAAGCCATCAGCATGGACAACCAGAGAGTGGCCATCCTGGCGCTGACCTGTAAGCTGGCGGCGAAGATCGGAGAGCCAGGCGGCGAAGTCAACCGCGTGGCCCTCAGCGTCCAGGCGGAGCACAAAGTCAGCCATCGTGCAGGGTCAGCGGCACAGCTCCTCAGCGACACAGCGGCACAGCAGCACAGCTCCTCAGCGGCACAGGAGCACAGCGGCGCGGGGACACGGCGGCAGCACTCTCTAGTAGGGCAGCAGCTAGGCGTCCCAGCGCAGGCAAGCAGAAGACACAGGGCCCGAGAGGACACGGCAGGCCGAGCAGGGGAGGCGGGCAGGTGCTCTAGGGCCGGGCTGGTGCTGGGAGGGGCCAGGCTGGTGCTGCTAGGGCCGGTCGGGCACGAGGAGGGGCCGGGCAGCGCTGAGGAGAGGCCGGGCGGCGCTAGGAAGGGGCCGGGCGGCACTAGGAGGAGGCCGGGCGGCACTAGGAGGAGGCCGGGCGGCACTAGGAGGAGGCCGAGCGGCACTAGGAGGAGGCCAGGCGGGCGAGCGCTAACAGCAGGCGCGACAGGGGCCAGCGGGCGCGACGGGGCCTAAGGGGCGCGACGGGGCCCAGCGGGCACGACGGGGCCCAGGGGGGGCGCGACGGGGCCGAGGAGGCGCGACGGGGACCAGCGGGCACGACGGGGCCCAGGGGGGCCGCGACGGGGCCTAACGGGCGCGACGGGGCCCAGGGGGGGCGCGACGGGGCCTAGCAGGCGCGACGGGGCCTAGGAAGCGCGAAGGGGCCCAGCGGGCACGACGGGGCCTAGGAGGGGCGCGACGGGGCCGAACGGGCGCGACGGGGCCCAGAGGGGGGGGACGCGACGGGGCTTAGGAGGCGCGACGATGCCTAGGAGGCACGACGGGGCTCAGCGGGCTCGACGGGGCCCATGGGGGGCGCGACGGGGCCTAGGAGGCGCAACGGGGCCCAGCGGGGGCGCGTTAGGGCCTAGGGGTCGCGACGGGACCCAGTGGGCGCGACGGGGCCCAGGGGGAGCGCGACGGGGCCTAGGAGGCGCGACGGGGCCCAGCGGGCACGACGGGGCCCAGGGGGGGCGCGACGGGGCCTAAGGGGGCGCGACGGGGCCTAGGAGGCGCGACGGGCGGAAGCGGTAGGCGGGGGGATCCTAACCTAAGCGTGATACCATGTTAACGTAGAAACGAATGATTACAAGAGGTGGAAACCTAGAACAAATACTAGTTGGTTGTACTCACTAGAAGCATACCTCAGTCTAGCCTATAACTTCTACATAGATAATATGTATAAGTTGACACTTTAGTCCTAAGTTTCTAAGATAAACCCTGTCTCTAGAGTCAACTTCTCCTTCGGACTAACGCGCCGGGGTCTTCCATTGGAGCCCACCACGAATCACCACTCAGGGGCCTTTGGCCACTTAAGAACAGCGGAGTCGATGTCCTCCTCCCTCTTGGCCTTGTCCTTGAGAAACCAGTCGCACACGCGGCCCGCGTTGAGCTCCTCTATAGGCACGCCCTCCTGCTCTGATACAACCCGCAGGAGGTTCAGCGAAGAAATCTGCACAAGATAGAGCGATCCAGGTTAACACAGAAGCCGTGATTTCTTACACCGATTCTGATACTTGAAACAAGCAAACTAGTCAGGAACCCCCTTCACCCTGCTTGCCTTGCGCAGCCTCCTTGCCCCCCTCGCTCACCCACGTTCCCTCTATCCCTTCCTTTCGCTCTCCCTTCCCCACCATCCCCTCCCCCTCTCGTCCCTCTCGTCAAGGCATCTACCCCAGCCCCACCCCTCACCATCACCCCACCATGCCTCACCATCACCCCACCATGCCTCACCATCACCCCACCATGCCTCACCATCACCCCACCATGCCTCACCATCACCCCACCATGCCTCACCATCACCCCACCATGCCTCACCATCATCCCACCATGCCTCACCATCTCACTGAGCGTGCGTGTGTCACTGCTCGTGAAAATCTCATTGTCAGTCGCGCACCTCACTGTGATTTTCTCCCCACATCACCATTACCTCTTCTCACCATGTTTCGCTCTTCCCACTGCCACTCACTCGGCTCACCGTGAGGCGCTCGGCTCACCGTGAGGCACTCGGCTCACCGTGAGGCGCTCGGCTCACCGTGAGGCGCGCGAGGAAGCGCTCGTGCGTGTCGAGCCCCGCCAGCTCCACCAGCCCCGCCTCCTCCAGCGACAAGAACGTCTCCGGCCCGCCCGCGCCGCCCCCGCCACCTACGGCGCGCACAACAGACCATGAAGCCGGCGCGGAGCTGAGCGTGGTCCGGGAGAATTGCCGCGCGGGAATAGCTGATTGGTGCACATGGCGGGAGGATGGGAGGGCGGGCGACGGAAGGCCAGGAAGTAGGCGGGACGTGCAGGTGGGCGCGGGGAGGAGCGCTGAAGGGGCCATCCCGGTGCGGCGTGACGGCTATGTGTGACGAGGAGAGACGCGGCGGAATGAGAGAGGCTTGCGGCGGGCCTGGTGGTGGCGGCCGCGGGATTCACCAACTGCTGCCAGGGGCGGGAAACGTGCAGTGCTGGCGAGAGAGAGGGGCGGAAGGCGAGCGAGAGGGCAGAAGGCGAGAGAGGGGCGGAAGGCGAGAGAGAGGCGGAAGGCGAGAGAGGGGCGGAAGGCGAGAGAGAGGGACGGCACGCGAGGGAGAGGGGCGAGCGTGGGACAGAGAGAGAGAGAGAGACGAGCAGTGAGCGAGAGAGGGGGGCGGACCGCGAGAGAACCGAGCAGTGAGCGAGAGAGAGGGGCGGACCGCGAGATTTAGGGGCCGAAAGCGAGATCGTGTGGCAGAGAGCGAGAGTGCGCAAGGACTGCGACCACGGAAACCACACTGCTGGTGCTGGTGGTGATGGGGTTCGTGTGCTAAGTGCCGTTGGCGAGGGTGGGAGGGTCAGGCTGCTAGACGGTGCACGCATCCTCGTAAAAAAACGAACACAGTGTTGGTTTCTGGTTACAAAGAACACTGCTTGTTATGAATGAACAAGCTGTTATGAATGGGACTGCCGAGTAGCGCGGAGGGCAATGGCGAAACTGTGAAAGAGTGAATGACAATAAAATGAAAGACAACACAACACATAGAAAGCCTAGGGTGATCCTGGACGTAAGATCTGAAGGTTCGGGAAAAGTATCGAAGGGCCTCGACGCGTCGAAGCGAGGTCCGAAAAGGCCGAGGAGGCTCGAACTGAAAGGTCTGGAACCCTCTCGCTGGTTCAGGACTGTTCGAGTCGTACGCTCTGTAGCAAGCCTCAGTAAGGAAATGCGCATTCCTTACACAAGCAGAGTAGCGCGGAAATGAATAACGAAGTGTTCAATCACTGAATGACGATACAAGGAATGGCAAGCCAAGATATAGGAACACCAGAGCTAGCCTAACCATGCGATGGGAAGGCTCGGAAAAGAGATCGAAGGGCCGCGAAGTGAGGCCCGGAGAACTCCCGAAGGTCGAACTAGAAGGTCTAGAGAAGCCGAGGCGGTTCTGTCAGAAAGGTCTGAAACAGTCCCGAGGCTTCGGGTGTGTTCGAGCGTACGCGATAGAAGTACCGCTCGGTAAGGAATGAAAAATTCCTTACACCAACCCCCCCCTTAGCGAAGGTGATCTATATCAGCCACGTGCTTGCGGTCCAAATAATTCGCAAGTATCGAATGTAACTGTATGTGGTCCGAGGGCACCCACGTGTTGTCCTCACTGGTACGATTGGTCCATCGTATCAGAAAGTCAACGTGTCGTCCTTGACCGTCGATACGAATCCGATGGCTCAAAATCTTCGAAGGCTCGATGGTCGTCTCGGCTGGTGGCCGTACATCTGGGACCAATCGTTGTTGGGCGATGTCCGACGTGTCAGGTACGAAGGGTCGCAACAGGCTCACGTGGAACTTGTTGTGAATACGCCAGTCATCAGGTAGGCGCAACTCGGTTGTCACCGGCGTCACCATCTTCATGATCTTGAATGGGCCACAGAAACGTGGTCGTAATTTCGTCGACAGTGGCAGTCGTAAATTCTTGGTGTCCAAAAGGACTAGTTGCCTGCTGCCATTGTAATATCCCGTCGATGTAAATCCGCATACCATCGGGCCGTTGCGTTCGCCTTGCGAATATGTTCGACAGCTTTGAATCGGGCAGTCTGTAATTCTTCGACGAACTGCCGCGATCGTGGTACTTGACTCTCAACGTTGGAGGAGACGGGTACAGTGGGGTCCATCCCGTAATTGAGATAAAACGGGGAGTGATTAGTCGTAACCGAGGGCGCGTTGTTGTAGGAAAATTCCAACATGGGCAGCACGTCCTCCCATTTTTTTCCGGTCGGGGCAGTTTGTCCGAATCAGCTGCTCCATCGTTTGATTTTTCCTTTCAGTCTGGCCGTCCGTTTGGGAATGATACGCGGATGAAAACTGCATACGAGTGCCGTACCGAGCCCACGTGTCCAGCCAGAATTTTGACGTGAACTTCGAGTCTCGATCGCTAATGATTGCTGCTGGTATCCCGTGTAGACGAACAACGGTCGAGATGAAAAGGCACGCGGTTTCTTCAGCTGTGATGGTTGTACGACATGGTGCGAAATGCGCCATTTTCGTCAATCGGTCGACGAAAACCAAAACTGCGTCATTTCCGCCGGGTCCGGCCGGTAGTCCCGTAATGAAATCCATCGTTACGTGTTGCCATGGGCGTTGAGGTGGCTTGAGAGGCTGCAACAGTCCTGTAGGTCGCTGGTGTGATGACTTCATTCGCTGGCAGATCTGACACGCGGCCACGTAATGCTGCACATCCGTCACCATATCAGGCGAGTAATAAAATCGCTGCAACGCCTTCAGAGTTTTATCAACCCCAAAATGTCCCGATGAATTCGAATCGTGGACTTGTTGAATTAGTAATTCGCGAAGTAGACGATAACTTGGGACCCAAATTCGATCAGTTCCGCTTCGTAAGTAATAGACGCCTTTCCGTGCAGTGATTGGGAGATGGCCGTCGTTGCGAAGAAGGGGTCAGTCGAATACCCGTGGGTAAATAGTCCACTCAGTAGCGGGTTGCTCTGGGCGACTAATACAGCTGCGAGTTGGGCAGATGGTCTGGAAAGGGCGTCGGCAATATTGTTGGCGCCTTTTTTATACGTGATCTTGTACGTGAAATTGGACTCCAGATAGTCCAGCCAACGTATCTGCCGCGGGTTGAGATTCGGCTGCGCTCTCAGATACTGTAGAGATTTGTGGTCGGTTCGCACAGTCACGTCTGCTCCCGTCAGGTAGCACCTCCAGATTTTGAACGCGTGGACAATCGCCAGCATCTCCTTGTCGTGTACCGGGTAGTTGTGCTAAGCAGATTGCATTTTCCGAGACTCGTACTCGATTGGTTGAAGACCATTGCCGAAATCTTGCATGAGTACTGCTTCGATGGCGATGTTACTTGCGTCGGTGATGACTTCGAAGGGCCGTTCCGGGTCAGCGATGCGAAGGATCGGTGGCGACATTAAAAGATTTTTTAATGCCTCGAAAGCAGCTTGCTACTTCTCCCCCCACTCGTAAAAAGTCCCCTTTTGCAGTAGGTCGGTTAGAGGTCCAGTTAACCCCGCCATGTTGGGTATAAACCGCCGCACTTAATTCACGAAACCCAGAAATGATTGCAGCTGCTGCAGATTTGTTGGTGTTTTCCATTCCTGAATAGCCCATAGTTTTTTCGGGTCTATCCAAATCCCCTCCGTGTAGATCACGTGCCCCAGGAACTCCAGTTCTTGTTGTAAAAACTCGCACTTGGAGCCCTTGGTGATGAGACGATGCTGCTGCAACCGCTGAAAAACCGCGTCCAAATCCTTTAAATGTTGCTCCCGGGTCTTGCTGTAGATCAGGATGTCGTCCAGGTAAATTATCACGCATTTGTCGAGTAGATCGCGGAACACCCCGTTCATGGTGAATTGGAACGTCGAGGGGGCATTCGTTAATCCAAACGGCATCACCGTGTATTCGTAATTCCCGTAGCGAGTACGAAACGCGGTCTTATGGCAGTCGTCAGCGAACACCCGAATTTGATGGTAACCACTGCGAAGATCCATCTTCGAAAAATAGCGAGCTCCGCGAAGGTTGTCGATCATTTCGTCCGTGTGTGGGATTGGGTAGCGTGATTTTATCGTTACCCGATTAAGGGCACGATAGTCCATACACATGCGAAGTCTGCCGTCCTTTTTTGGTGTGAACAGGATCGGTGCTGCGAACGGTGACGTGCTCGGCCGAATGAACCCCTTCACTAGCAGGTAGTCCAGCTGGTTCCGTAATTGTTGTAGCTCCGGTTGAGTCAGGCGCCATTGCGTGCGTACAGTAGGTTGCGCGCCGGGCTCCAGCTCGATCTTGTGGTCCTAGGGTCGTTCGGGTGGCAGTCCACTTGGCAAGTCATCAGGAAAAATCTCAAGATATTCCCGAATGATTTTCGCCAAGTCATCCGGGACCGAAGCGCAGAGTTTGTTGATGTCGGTCGTCTCGTTCTGCTCCGTCGATTCGGTTAGATGGACGGCGTATAAATCCGCTCCATTCTTGACCCCTCGTTTAAGGCATACCGCGTTGACTCGTGTCGATGTTGTCTCTGCTTCCGGCCACATGGGTAATTTTCGCCAGCCTTTGTCGCACTTCACTGTGCACTCGCCTGTCGTCCAATCGATCTGCGGGTTGAATCTTTGCAGCCAATCGCGTCCCAATGGCACGTCGTAGCCGTCGAGCGTTGTCGCCAGCATTGGCGCGCTGAAACCAAAATCGTCGCCACACTTCATTCGAACGACGGGTACTTTGTCGCGTATCGCTAGCGGGGTGACGTCCACCAATCGCGTGTCGATTTTGGGTAGACACCTCTCCAGCGTCAGGTGTAGTCATCGTGCTGTCTCTCGATTTATCAGGTTGTGACTTGCACCTCCGTCGATGAATATTTTTATTTTTCTTCCATTGAGTCGTCCCTCTGCCAGTACAGGGTGGTCCACTGGATCATCCCCCTTATTCAGCCGGGCGCGGTTGATAGCATGTATCGGAACCACTACTCGGTGGGGATGGTGTTTTTTCGGGCGATGAGGCAGGGTCAGTAGGGGGCCCGACCGCTACTGACGCTTGGCGTTTCCCAACCTGCCTTCGTCGTTCTTCTTTATCTGCTTCTTTTAGGGGCAATCGTGAGATTGGTGACCCGGCTGGTGGCAGTTGAAATATTGTCCCTTGCGAAAATCTTCCATGTGCTATGTCTCAGGGTCGAATGTGTCGAGGAAAGGTTGCACTATCGATCAGTACAAGGCGCTTTCATACTTCCAAAGTACATCAGGTAACCAGGTTTATCCTATCCCAAGGGAATAGACCCTTCTAGAAAATAGAATCATCCTGCATATAGCCACGCGAGGCTATTGGCTTTAAAGGATTACGGCAGGATTACGCTAGATATAGTGCACCAGTACATCCCGAGCCTGCTCGGTGATATAATAATAATAACGGGATAAACAAAGGTTTATGGAAAGGAGAAATAGGAATCCAAATGGAATGAGATAAAAACCAAATGGATCAGGATAAAAAGAGGAATGGAATGGAAAGGGAATATGGAAAGGAGAGAGGAATGGAACGGGGTCGTACTCTCACACTTCCCCCCCTCAAAGCTGGGTGGTAGACGTTACACCCTACTTGACAAGGTAGTCGCGAAGAGGACGACGAGCGTGGTCCATCTCGGATTCACAGACCCAGCTATCCTCTGAAGGACCATAACCCTTTCAACGGATGGGAAGCTCCATGGTGCCATTCCGTCGACGGCGGTGAGCAAGCATGGACTTGACCTCGTACTCAGGTTCATCATGGACGAGGACGGGCGGCGGCGGCGGCGGTTGGCGTCCTTAGAAGATCGCGTTGGGATCTCGGTAGGGCTTCAAGAGTTAGACATGGAAGGCGTTGTGAATCTTCCAGGTAGCTGGCAGGCGTAAGCGGAAGGTAACAGGAGTGACCTGTGGTTCAACGAGAAAGGGCCCGAAGAAGCGAGGTCGCAGCTTGGATGGAAGATGGCTGATGTGAAGATTGCGCGTGTCGAGCAGTACTCGATCTCCCACGGTGATGGTGTGGTCAGTGCGGTGGCAATCGGCCTGGCGCTTCTGTTGTTGCTGTATGTCGAGAAGGCGCTTGTGGGTCCGATCCCAAAGTTTGTGTATAGTCGTAATAAAATCATGAGCGGGTTGGACTGTGGCTGGTATGGCTGGCTGTTGAGGTGTGAGTGGGTGGCGTTCGTAACAGAGGAAGAACGGCATCTGTCCAGTAGCGGCGTGAGTAGCATTGTTGTAGGCAAACTCCAGGACGGGCAGATGCAAGTCCCATTTGGAGATTTCGTCCTTGCAGGCTTCGCGGATGAGTTGCTCCACAATTTGGTTGAGGCGCTCGGTCTGTCCATCTGTCTGCGGATGGTAGGCGGATGACATGGCAAATTTGGTCCCGAGACGAGACATCAGTTCTTTCCAAAATTTACTGGTGAACTTAGGGTCTCGGTCGGAGATGAGTTTGGTCGGAATGCCATGTTGTGAAATGATGTAGCGCACAAAGAGTTGTGCTGTCTCCTCGGTGCGTGCTGTCGTGTGTGTCCGGATGAAGTGTCCCATTTTGGAGAACTTGTCAATGACGACGAGGATCGCGTCATGACCGCTTGTGGTAGCTGGTAGCCCGGTGATGAAGTCTAGACTGACCACTGGCCATGGCTGTTCTGGGACAGGAAGAGGCAGTAGTAGACCCACCTTTTTCTGCTTGCTGCTCTTCATCCGCTGAAATGTAGTGCACGAGGTGACGAATTTATGTACGTCATCTGCCATGTGGGGCCAGTAGTAGTGTTTGGCGATACCGGTGAGCGTCTTGTTGCTACCGAAGTGTCTTGCATATAGGATGTCGCGGTATTCTTCGAGTAGTAACTGGCGCAATGGTGGGTAATTAGGTACCCAGATCTTTGTTGATGCTTTGCGGTACGCGATGTCGTTGTCCCACTGTAGCAGATGTCGCTTTTCTGCCAAGGGAATTTCGGGGTCGATGGTGCACCCGTGTGTGAAGAGTCCCTTGAGGAGTGAATTCATCCCTTCAACTTGGATCGCGGCAACGTGTGCAAGCCGGCTAAGCGCATCGGCTTTGTTTTTATGGCCGGGCTTGTACACGATGTCGTAGTGGAAGTGTGTCTCGATGAAGTCGATCCACCGAACCTGTCACCTGGAGTGGCTTGGTTGCGTCTTCAAATATTTTAGGCTGCAATGGTCGGTGTAGACTGCCGTCTTTCGTCCTTCGAGATAGCATCTCCACGTTTTGAAGGCGATGATGATAGCCAGGGCCTCTTTGTCGTGTATCGGATAGTTGATTTATGCCCCGTGTAGTTTCTTGCTGAGATAGGCGATTGGTTGTAGTCCATTCCCCTGGTCTTGCATCAAGACTTCTCCCACTGCCTGGTCGCTGGCGTCAGCTTCGATGACGTAGTCACGTTCGGGGTCTGGCAACATGAGTACGGGTGCGGACGTGAGTGCTTGCTTAAGTTGCTCCACGGCTTCCTGGTGTTTTGGCTCCCATTTATAGGGCGATTCGTGAGTGGCGCGGCAATTCGCGTATTGCGGCACGAACCTGTTGTAGTAGTTACCGAAGCCAAGGAACTGCTGTAACTCCTTCACATTCTCGGGTGTCTTCCACGTACGCACGGCTTTGATTTTCTTGGGGTCGACGTGAACTCCTTGAGCGCGTACGATATGTCCGAGAAATTGGACTTGCTCGAGGGCGAAGTCGCACGTGGATAGTTTGACGTAGAAGCGTTCTCGTCGAAGAATCTCGAAGACGCGTCGTAAGTGTTCGACGTGTTGTTGCATGTCGCGCGAGTGACGAGGATGTCGTCCAGGTACACCACCACGCATTCGTCCAAGAGTGGGCATAGGATGTGATTCATCTCTGCTTGGAACGTTGCAGGTGCGGTGGTGAGTCCGAACGGCATCACCAGATACTCGTACGATCCGTACCGAGTTCGGAAGGCCGTTTTGTGAACGTAATCGTCCGCCATTCTTATCTGCCAGTATCTGGACCGCAGATCTAATTTTGAAAATACCGTGGCTCCCCGAAGCTGGTCGAGCAGATCATCGATTCGTGGAATCGGGTACTTGTTCTTGATGGTCTGCTTGTTGAGAGCTCGGTAGTCGATGCACATGCGCAGGCTTCCGTCCGGTTTTGGTGTGAAGAGTACTGGGGCACCGTATGGTGAAGTGGATGGTCGGATGAGTCCCTTGGCGAGGAGATACTCGATTTGCTTCTTCATGTCGGCTAGCTCTGTGGGGCTGAATCGATATGGTGCTCGGAAGGTTGGCTTCGAACCTGGTTCCTCCACGATCTCATGCTGGTGCGTTCGGTATGGCGATAGCTCGCCCGGGAGGTCGTCAGGGAGAATGTCTTCGAACTCCTTCAGTAATTCCTTTATTTTTCCTGGAGGTTCCGAGGTCTTCTCTCCGTCGGTTTCCACCTCTGTTGCTATCGCCAGGAATCCGGTGCTGGTTTGCTTGACGTCCTTCTCGAATCTCACGAGTGTCTCCACTGGGATATCTCCTGTATCGTCCCAGTTGGGTAGCTGGACTCTCCTTCCTTTGTTGTAGATGCTTGCGGTGCGGTTTACCCAGTTGATCTCGGGGTTGAATCGTTTGAGGAAGTCTCGCCCGAAGATTATGTCAAGCTCTTTGATGTTGGTGATGGGGAGTGCAGGTTTCCAGCGCAGTGGTCCAATTTGTAGATGTAACACTGCTTCGCCGTATACTGGTAACTTGCTGCCGTCCACCATTATTGCAGAAATCGCTGATGGCTTGTACTCTTCTCGAAGTCGGTCGATGGTTGCCTTGTTGCATACGGTGTGCGATGCTCCGCTGTCCACGAGTGCTTGGAGGCGTCGTCCTTTGCACATGACCTCGAGCACGAGGGGCAGGCGTTGCTCGGAGTACCCAAAGATAGTTTCATTGATTGGGTCATAGGGTACATCCCAATATTCGTTGCTTCCTACTCTTGAGTAGGCAGCTGGCCGAGGTTGCTTGGAGAAAGGCTCTTCTCCAGGGCCCGGAGTTTCCGTGACGACTGTTCGTGTCATTGAAGAAGTTGCCGAGTTGGATGCATCCGAAGAAGGAGTTCGGGGTTTTTGCAGCTTCTTGTAGACCCCCAGCTTCCTTTTGAGCTTCTTCAGCTCCACTGACGTTTTCCCTGGGGAACGGGTAGTCGCTGTGGGCTGGTGTCGGGAGAGGACGTTGACTCCGTGGAAAGGTCGGCTTCTTTCCACACTCCTTAATTTTTCCCCCAAGTTGTCGAGGAAAAGGTTGCACTATCGATTGGTACAAGGTGCTTTTATACTTCCAGAGCACATCACGTAACCAGGTTTATCCTATCCAAAGGGAATAGACCCTTCTAGAATATAGAATCACCCTGCGTATAGCCACGCGAAGCTATTGGCTTTAAGGGATTATGGCAGGATTACGCTAGATATAGCGCGTCAGTACATCCCAAGCCTGGTCGGTGATATAATTATACTAGCCGGATAAACCAAAGGTTAATGGAAAATGGAGAATAGGAAACCAAATGAGATTGTATAAAAATAGAAATGAAATAGGAAGGAAATAAGGAAAGGCCAAGTGGTGTAACGGGGTCGTACTCTCACACTTGCCCCCCTCAAAGCTGGGTGGTAGAAGTAACACCCTGCTTGACAAGGTAGTCATGCAGAGGACGACGAGCGTTACCCATGTCGGACTCAGAGACCCAGCTATCCTCAGAAGGATCATAACCCTTCCAACGAATGAGAAGCTCCAGGGTACCATTCCGACGACGACGGTGTGCAAGCACGGACTCGACCTCGTACTCGGGTTCATTCTGGACGAGGACGGGTGGCGGCGGCGGCGGTTGGCGTCCGACGAAGATCGTGTTCGGATCTCGATAGCGCTTCAGAAGTTGGACATGGAAGGCATTGTGAATCTTCCAAGTACCTTGCAGGCGTAAGCGGAAGATAACAGGAGTGACCTGTGCTTCAACGAGGAAAGGCCCGCAGAAGCGAGGTCGAAGTTTAGATGGGAGATGGCTGATGTCAAGGTTGCGGGTGTCAAGGAGCACCTGGTCTCCTACGGTGATAGTGTGGTCGTTGCGATGGTGATCGGCCTGGCGTTTCTGTTGCTGCTGAATGTCAAGGAGGCGCTTGTGGGTCCGATCCCAAAGCTGATGCATGGTTGTGATGAAGTCATGTGCCGGTTGGACTGTTGTTGATGTTGTTGGTTTCTGTGGTGTGAGTGGGTGGCGTCCGTAGCAGAGGAAGAACGTCGTCTGTCCAGTAGCGGCATGTGTAGCGTTGTTGTAAGCAAACTCTAGAACGGGCAGGTGCAGATCCCATTTGGAGATCTCGTCCTTGCAGGCTGCTCGGAGGAGTTGCTCAACAATTTGGTTGAGGCGCTCGGTCTGTCCGTCTGTCTGCGGATGGTAAGCGGATGACATGGCGAGTTTGGTCCCGAGTAGAGACATAAGTTCCTTCTAGATTGTGCTGGTGAACTTGGGGTCTCGGTCGGGGATAAGTGTGGTTGGAATGCCATGCTGTGAGATGATGTATCGAACGAAGAGTTGTGCTGCTTCTTCGGTGTGTGCTGTCGTGTGTGTCGGGATGAAGTGTCCCATTTTGGAGAACTTGTCGATGACGACAAGGATCGGGTCATGACCGCTGGTGGTAGGCGGTAACCCGGTGATGAAATCCAGGCTAACCACTTGCCATGGTTGTTCTGGGACAGGAAGAGGCTGCGAAGTCCTGCCTTCTTCTGCTTGCTGCTCTTCATCCGCTGACATGTATCACACGAGGTGACGAATTTCTGGACATCTTCTGCTAAGTGGGGCCAGTAGTAGTGCTTCGCAATACCGGTCAGCGTCTTGTTGCTACCGAAGTGTCCAGCGTAGAGGACGTCGTGGTATTCTTTGAGTAGTAACTGGCGCAAAGGAGGGTAATTTGGTACCCAGATTTTGGTTGATCCTTTCCGGTACGCAATGTCACTGTCCTTCTGAAGTAGGTGTCGCTTTTCTGCCAAGGGGATTTCGGGGTCGAGGGTGTACCCGTGTGTGAAGAGTCCCTTGAGTAGTGGATTCATCCCTTCGACCTGAATGGTGGCAACGTGTGTGGGCCGGCTAAGGGCATCTGCTTTGTTTTTGTGGCCTGGCTTGTACACGATGTCGTAGTGGAAGTGCGTCTCGAGGAAGTCGATCCACCGGACCTGTCGCCTGGAAAGGTTGAGTTGTGTCTTCAAATATTTCAGGCTGCAGTAGTCGGTGTAGACGGTCGTTCTTCGTCCTTCGAGATAACATCTCCACGCTTTGAAAGCGATGACGATGGCAAGGGCCTCTTTGTCATGTATCGGGTAGTTTAGTTCTGCCCCGTGTAGTTTCTTACTCAGGTAGGCGATTGGTTGCAGTCCATTCCCCTGGTCTTGCATCAAGACTGCTCCCATTGCCTCGTCGCTGGCGTCAGCTTCGATAACGTAGTCGCGTTCAGGATCTGGCAAGATGAGCACTGGTGCGGACGTGAGTGCTTGTTTCAGCTGCTCCATGGCTTCCTGGTGCTTCGGCTCCCATTTGTCGGGTGTGTTCTTCTTCAGCAGATTCGTGAGTGGTGCTGCAAGTTTCGCATACTGTGGTACGAACCTGTTGTAGTAATTAGCGAAGCCTAGGAATTGCTGCAACTCCTTTACGTTCTCGGGTGTCTTCCACGTACGTACGGCTTCGATTTTCTTGGGGTCGACATGAACTCCTTGAGCGCTAACCACGTGTCCTAGGAACTCGACTTTCTCAAGGGCGAATTCGCTCTTGGACAGTTTGACGTAGAACCGTTCCCGTCGAAGAATCTCGAAGATGCGTCGCACCTGTTCGACGTGCTGTTTCATGTCGCGAGAGTAGATGAGGATGTCGTCCAGGTACACCACCACGCATTCGTCCAAAAGTGGGCGTAGAATGTGGTTCATCTCGGCTTGGAACGTTGCCGATGCGTTGGTGAGTCCGAACGGCATGACCAAATACTCGTATGATCCGTACCGAGTTCGGAAAGCAGTTTTGTGGATGGATCTGTCCGCCATTCGTATCTGCCAGTATCCGGACCGCAGATCCAGTTTGGAAAATACCGTAGCTCCCCGAAGCTGATCAAGCAGGTCATCGATTCGTGGTATCGGATATTTATTCTTGATGGTCTGCTTGTTGAGAGCTCGGTAATCGATGCACATGCGCAGGCTTCCGTCCGGTTTCGGTGTGAAGAGAACTGGGGCACCGTATGGCAAAGTGGATGGTCGGATGAGTCCTTTGGCGAGGAGATACTCGATCTGTTTTTTCATGTCAGTCAACTCCGTAGGGCTGAGCCGGTATGGTGCTCGGAAGGTCGGCTTTGAGTGATTGGCGCGAGTGATCGGCGTTAGTCCGAATTACTTCGTGACAACGCCTGCGTATTTTCCGGCGTGTAGGTAGAACGCCGAATTGTCTTCGACGACGTTCAGACCTAGGTACTGGGTCACGGTGTTTGACACCGTGAGTGTTAAGTCACTCCTCAGCTCCCCTTCGAACCAGGTGGCGACGTCGGTAGTGGAGCTGACGTAGAGTAGGTCATCAACGTAGACGATGAGTAGGACGAAATCCCCCCCCTTCTGTAGTCGGTACATGCCTTGATCGTGCGGCAGCTGCAGAAAACCGATCCTGACGAGGCGGTCGTGAAGGTGCTGGTGCCAGATCCGCGGGGCTTGTTTAATTCCGTAGAGGGATTTTACCAGCTGGCACACTTTTGTGGGATCGTCGATGAATCCGTGGGGCTGCTCAACGAAGATTTCGGCGTCCACAGGTGCGTACAGGAAGGCGTTGGCGACATCAATCTGGCGCAGTGGTAGCTTTTTCGTGGCCGCAACGGCGAGCAAAATGCGCAGGGAAGTATGTCGGGAGACTGGGGCGAATGTCTCCGTGTAGTCGGTTCCATATCGCTGGTCAAATCCTCGTATGACCCAGCGAGCCTTGAAACGGTCGATGGAGCCATCCGCATTAGTCTTGATGCGGTACACCCATTTCCCCAACAGCACATTCTTTCAGTTGGTTTTTGTTGCAGGTACCAGCTTCCACGTATTCCGGTCTCGCAGGGCCTTCACTTCTTTTTCCATTGCTTCCTTCCATTTCGCCTTGTGTTCCCCCCCCAGAGCCTGCGACAGAGTCGTTGGCTCACGCGGTGACGGCGGCGGCGGGCTTTGGACGGCGACCTATAGTCCAAGTATCTGCAGGCCCGTGGGTGTGTGTCGAGGGGAATTGTCATTCTCGGGATAAGCTGCTTCGTCACTGTGAGAGTACGACCCCGTTACACTAATTTCCCCTTTCCCTATTTCATTTCTATTTCATTCCTCTTTTTATCCTGATTACTTTGGTCTTTATCTCATCTCTTTTGGTTTCCTATTCCTAATTTTCCATTATCCTTTGGTATATCCCGTTATTATAATTATATCACCGACCAGGCTCGGGATGTACTGGCGCGCTATATCTAGCGTAATCCTGTCGTAATCCCTCGCGTGGCTATGCGCAGGGTGATTCTATTTCTAGAAGGGTCTATTCCCTTTGGATAGGATAACCCTGGTTACCTGATGTAATCTGGAAGTATAAAAGCACCTTGTACTGATTCATAGTGGAAGATTAAGCAAACCTCATTCGATCCTGTGACAGTCACCGTCTTCGGGGTCGGGTAAGAAATTGGGTCCGATGCGTTCAGAGATATTTGTGTCGACCGGTTGAGGTGTAGTGTAACCTTGGTCAGCGAAATGGTAATAAGTGTCGAGGTTGTTACTATCGAGAGGATTATCGTCGTCGAGTGGAACGGGCACGGAGCAGTAAGGGAGTGGTCCGACAGCTTCCGAGGCTTCAGGTACGTCTTCTTCTACTACATCAGCTTCGGCAGCACGATCGGCGAAGGACCGATGGCCCTCGAAGCCGTCGGTGGGGTCTGTTGTGTTGGCGATGTTGTCCAGGTAATGCTGCAGCATCAGTCGCTCGTAGAAGATCACATCACGTGAGGCCACGGTGTCTTTGTTTTGGATGTCGAGAAGTTTCCATGCTTGGAAATGTTTTGCGATGCCGAGGTGTAGTCCCCACCGTGCTCGTTGAGAGAATCGTCCTGCGCGAGCTGTGTGGGGTCTGTATTGTACCATGCAGCCGAAGACTTGAAGTAATTTTGAGCTGCCTTGTTTTCCTGTCCACAGCAGGTGCGGTGATGCGTTGTTGGGAAGTGACGTCGAGGACAGCAAATTGTGCAGGTGGACTGCATGCGTCATCGCGTCAGGCCAAAGCGTGCTGGGCAGTCTCATCCCCAGGAGCAGCTTCCGCGTCGTCGTCTGCAAGGTTTTGTTCATCCTTTCTGCAACCCCTTGCTGCTGGTGAGCGTAGGGCAGAGACACCAGGCGTCTGATGCCTCTTTCTGCCAAGTAGTTCCTGAATCGTTGTGACAGGTACTCTAGTGCCCCGGCTGACTGGAAACTCTTGAGTTGCGATCCTGATTCTCGTTCAGCGATGGGGAGCCACATTCTGAAGGCTTCGAATGCTGGATCTTGTGTCTTGAGGTTGTAGTGCCAGACGTATCATGTTACTGCGTTGATGAACATGATGACATAGTTGTATTCTGCTTCACTGTCATCTCGAGGCATATTTAAGATGTCGCTGTAGACTTTTTCCATCTGTTCGTATGCAAGTGCACTTGGATTGTGGTGCGACGGGAAAGGTTGGTGGGGAAGATCAGCTTCAGGGCACGTGAAGCATTGTGCGCGGGGTCGTCGAAGCTCCTGGCCGCTCATTGTGAGAAGAGCTTCCTTTTCTAATGCTCCGGCTTGTATGGTTTGTAGTACTGTGCTGTTTGCAGGGTGTCCGAGGCGTTGATGCCAGATGTCATCGGGGGCGCGATGGCCGGGTGAGCGCTGGTACACATCAGTGCTGGAGAAGAACGCGATGACCGTGGCTGGACTATGGCAGACTCCTCGGGTGATGGGCATGAGTTGATCTGCTTCGGATGGCGGTCCTCGGATTACCGGTGATGGTACACGGCTGGGTCCTGCTGCTGCTACTGCAGGTGATATCGGAGGAGGGATGTTTGCAGGTACTTGTCGTTCTTGGCGGATGACTGCTAATGCTCGTGTTCTTTCTGCTGCAGGGATGGTGTTGGAGTGCCAGAAGCCATCTGGGGTAAATTCGGGGTCAAGATCCAGCGGGTGCGTCCAGGCGGCAAACAACACGATGCCATCGCTGTCGGCAGTACCGCGGTCGGGGACGAAATCCAGCACAAAGACGCCTGACTTCAGGAGAGCGTGACCGATGAAGAGACCGCCCTTCCTGTGATAAAGACGAAACTCGTTGTCATCCGAATCACATTCCAGGTGAATTCCCTTCGCCATTAACTGGTTGACGCTTAGTAGATTGTATCCCAGGTTGTCGATGATGAGAACTTTGTTGAGTTGTAGTATGACGTTTGTCTCCATTGACTGAAGCTGAACGACGCCTGTCTGTTTGTTTTCAGGTTCTCGTTGTTGGCGACGGTGATGATGACATCGCGGTTGAGGCGTCGCTCTTGTTGCACGAAGCACCCGGAAGAACACATATGTTGGCCGCAGCAGATGTCCAAGAACCAGGTGTTTTGCCCGGTGGGTTCGGCGTTGGCAACTGCAGCGTACGTCGGGATGACCCGGAGACCTTGTGAGTGTGGCGACGGCAGTTCTTCTTCGTCTGGAGCATAAGTGGGTGGTGACTCGGGTCTGCAGCTGTCGATCCGTACCATGCAATTGATGATGCTTGGTGTGTCTCGTGCAGGTGTAGAGGAGCGGCTTGGCGGATTCTCTTGAGTGGAGGCGACTTGCGGATCTGCTGGACGATAAACTCGAGGGCGCGTGCAGTTAACCTTGGAGTGTCCGGATGTCTGACATTTGTGGCAAAACGGCGGCACGACGGTGAGACCTCTTGTGTCATATCGATTCTGCTTATCGCGTCGGTTGAAATTGTTGTCGTTCCTTCTTTGAGAGTAGAAGACTAATGGTTGCTGCTTGTTCCGTGGCTGTCTTTCTTCAAACAGGTCCATCTCATGTTGTTCAGCATGAAGCTCGGCGCAGAGGTGCATCTCGGAAATTCGTCCGTGGGCGCGAAGAAGCGAGCGGGTGGTTCTCCATTCTGGCCCGAGCACAGCGAGGACAAGTGTCACGAAGCTTTCTTCAGTGATTGTACCTCCGCACCGAAGCAGACGGTCGCGGAGTTTCTGGCAGCGACTCATATACTGCATCGTTTTTTTCCCGGTCTTCATTTGTATTGTGGTCAACTGCTGCATGAGTCTGCTTTGTGTCACGCTATCGTTTGCTTGATAGAGACACTTCAGATGATGCCAGGCGAGCTCCGCAGAGTTTCCGTAGCTCCGATACGTTTTGATGCTCTGTTGCTTTTGTGATGACAGATTTCGCAGGAGAACTGTGTACGCCAGCAGCAAGCTGAAGAACCTTTCCATAAGGTTCGGGTCCACGCTTGAAGAGGGTGAAGGGGTCGCCATTTCTGGTACCCTCCCTGTTGTTTCTTGAGCAGCGCCGGTCTCAGTTTGTAGTCCTGAAGTGTGTAGTCCAGATTTGCCGGGTTGAGTGTCTTGGGCGCTAGGTGAGCCCATAGAAGACTTCTTGCCCCTGTTGTCCATGACTTGTAATCGATGAATCTCTTGATGTGCTTGACTGTAGATAGAGCGTTGTTGCTGGGAGTTTGGTCTCTGACCAGCTTTGATACCATGTTGGGCTGAGAAAAGCCCTTAGGATCTTTCCAGAGACCAAGTCCCGCTTGTACAAGGTGCTTGAGTAGTGCAGCGGAAGTATTGAGTAGTTGAACCCTTGCACTAGTATGTGAGAGCAAGTGATTGATTAAAAGAAACAAGCATACAACAACATATAGAAAATAGGAAATAGAGCAGTTGTAGAATACAGTTGAAGAAACGGTTATCGAGTCGCACAGCGACTCGATCGATGGTTCGGTTACCACCCTTACAGTCATAACGGTCATTCGCAACCTCCGTTTGCGATCCTTCGAATCCCTTCGTCCTTTCGTGTTCTTTCGTCCAACCTCCTCGTGTAACCTCCGTTTACTCGCGTACTCGATACAACATTTCTTCGAGTGTAGTGTTCCACTTCAGAAACATTTAAGTCTTCGAGGTATTTCCAACAAATATAAAGGAGTACACAATCAAGGTCCAAGCAAGTGAGAGTCTACAGGGACTAGACCTAACTGCAAGCAGTGCGGCTGATGATCTTTAGGCGGAAGCGCCTTAGCAAAGATATCAGCTGTGATGGCACCAGAGGCCAAGTGTACTACGCGGGCCTGGCGATGCTGTTGGAGCTCGCACAGGAGGAAGTACCGCAGCTGGATGTGCTTCGCTCTGCTCTCAAGTCGAGGCTCTTGACACAGGAGGATCATGGCCCTGTTGTCAGCGTACAAAACCGGGGCAGAGCTAGGCCGCTCACCTAAGTCGGCGAGCAAGAAGGTCAGCAAGCGGAGCTCCAATGCCGCCATGGCACCGGCATAGATCTCAGACTCACAGCTAGACTGTGCAACAGACGAGGAGCGAGTGGACCTCCACGAGATGGAACCTGAACCAAGGCTAAAGCAGTAGCCCTGGGAGGACCTGAGGGTCTCAGCATCGTCCGCCCAAGAAGCGTAAGTGTGCCCAGTAAGGACCACTGCCCTGCGTCCTCCCAGCACTAGTCCCATGCCCAATATACTCGCAAGATAACGCAAGACCCTCTTAGGGGCCGACCTGTGTTGTGGTCGGTGTCTGCCTGTGGCCACGAAGCGGGCAAGGATGCTGAGAGGGTATGCGGGATCTGGACGAGTGCAAGTCATCTGGTATATGAGGCAACCCACCAGCTCTGCGTAAGTACCACTAGGCTCTGCTGACTCCTCAAGAAATGGAGCTGAGAGCCTATGGTCTATTGGCAGAGGTATGGGCTGAGCGGAGGAGAACTGAAGACCGAACCTCTGAAGGACCTGGTGCACCAAGTGTGACTGTGTAAGAGTGATGGTGCACGGT